AGTGCCATTATTTCATTTTTTCCATTTTTATTTTTCATAGTCTTAAGTGCAATGAAGAATTTTTTTAAAATATGAACATTAATTTGGGACAAAATCTATATTTCTACATGACATAAAAATTGGTTTTACAAACCAAAATTGCTTATCCTTTATTTTCCTAAAACTTAAATATTCTTTCAAATGCAAAACACATTAAGTCAACAAACTGTTTGTTTTAACCTCTGGCAACATAATATTCAGTAAATCTTCATGTGACATTTGAATTATAAATTCTACATAGTCAATAATATTTCATATCAAGCACATCAAGTTCCACATGCTCAGCTCAGCTTTGAGGGCCATAGAATTTTACATGAGAATTAAAATGTACAAATTCATTCAAATGGAATAGATAATACATTAAGGTCTCAAAAGTCTGAGTTGAAAACCTTAGAAGATAGTGTATGCATTCATCAAGATGTAAATTTTCAAGCCTAAAGGTTAATATATTATTAATTCTGTCTGTTCAGATATTATTAAAAATAATTTAATACATTACAGAAGAAGCTACAAGAAAAATCTATATAAAAATATTTTTCTTGTGAACAATATATACATCATTAAAATATTAAAAAAAGATGTCTTTTGATATTTCAATGATGTATATATCAGTGTATAGTTTTGACTTGCTTTAGGGCCATATTTTTTGGAGAATTCTAACGATCTAAAGACACAAGCAATTGCTTGCAAGATCAGCAGATTTTCCACTGCACATGTGTTCTTAGCATTTGCTTCCTTGCCCATAATAAAGTACATTTTTCAGGACAGTAAAAAAAGAAAAAAAATGGATTCTGATAGAAAAGAGCTTTTAGCTTTGAAGTCCTTGAAACCTTATATTCTCAAGCATAGATTTAGAATTGAAGTTTGTTTTGGTTTTTTTTTAAAGAAGAAAAAAAAAAAAAAAAAATTAAAGGACATAAGTGTTTTCCATGACTTGGTACAATCTCCAAGGAAGCATTTAAATCTATTTATTAGACCAGAATATAAAATGTGGAGAGTTCAGCATTTCCACAATAAATGCCATAAAATAAAGCACATTTATATCAACAGTATACCCCAAAATACAGCACACCTAATTTTTGTTAGTGGTAAGAGCTGAAAACAAAACAACAGTCACTGATTGAGTAAAAATATCCTTTGTTAATTTTGTAAATATCTCATTTCATTTAAAAATTTAGCTTTATTTATAATTCTTTATGAAATTCATAATTCTTTATTCACTAATGTATGAATAAAAGGGTCTGTTGAAGCATAATGTATTCAAATTTAGCATTGCTTTTTCCTGAGAATTATCATCATGATTATAAACTTCAAATAATACCCTGCTTAATAGCTGAGGTGGTTACATTTTTCCACTTGTCCCAGTGTTTGAGACAATATAAAAAACAAAAACAATGCCCCCCACACACACACAGGGATTTCAAATTCCTATGGGGTTAAATATAGAAAGGCCCCTTCCACCACTTGAAAGATTAAAGCAATACAATCTTCTCCCATGTAAATACATCTACAAAACAGCAATAAATTAATTTCTATAATGTTTTTCCTTTAAAACTTAAACTTAAATAATGGCTTTAGAGCCATGATTTTTATTCTAAGTCATAATTATAAAAACTATTTACTTTAGTATTTGCAAGAATAATTTGAAGTCAAATTTTGATAATCCCCAATATGGACAGCAGTGCTTATGGTACATGGTAAGAAGCCAACATAAAATCTTAAAGAATTTGACTCTTGAAAATAAGTTACTTTGATGAAAGTTCTTCAGTAAACAGTGATACCTGCTTGATGTATGACACAAAGTTCACTCAATGGAAAGACAGTTTGTTCATTAACAGATAACTAACATGTGTAGGTGAATCAAAATGCCAAGATGTTTAAGGCAGCATTTGTTTCACTTAGAATCAGACAGGTCAGATTAATTAATGCATAATACAAGATACACCAAATGTGAAATTGGCAGCAGGATGTGTCAGAAACTCCACAGAATCAATAATTTCAACTTCTATTCTATGTATCCCAAAATTCTTTGTTGGCAAGACTTTATATATATTCAATAAACAACTTTTGTCTATTGATATACTATGTACACTAACATCCTTCACAACTTTACATTATTACTGAAGATATTATCAAAATATCTTATGAATTGATTTTTTAAAATAAAATTAGTATCTGAATTTTAAAATGTTTAAAGATAATTCAAATTGAAAATTTTAACAAATATTAAAAATTACTAAAATTTACAATTACAATGATTTGTATAGAAAACACACAAATGACTAATGAAAACTTCTACTATATGAAGGTGGGCTGAAAAATTCATAGCCTGACTGACTATGAAGGAGTGATGCTAGAGCTGTGAAATCTTGCATGCATTAATTTCAAATCTTATTAATAACTGCATTGTTCTGTTCCAGGTAAACAGACATCTGAATGTTCGAAGAAGACTTCAAATGTAACTAGTAGTAACTTCTCTTCAAAATGGACAAAATTTGCTGTCATATAAAAAAGGTACATAGGCACTGATTTCATTAACAAAATAGATTCTAAACATTATAGAGACAGTGAATAACAGTGAAATTCTTGACCTTGCACATTTTAAGATATATAGAGAAAAAATAGCATAAGTTAACAAAAATTCCAAAATAAATTTAGCAATATTAGACAACCATGCTTCCATTGTGATTAATAATCTTACTATTCAGAGGTTTTCTGAAAAGCATTATTCATATGCAAATAATCTGAAGGATCCATAAAGAACTTTCTCTCTATTATCCATTTTATGAGCCTAAATCTTTTAATCAATTATCTCCTCATCTCAATTTAGGCCTTGAGGAAGCAGGAGAAAAAGAAAGAGAAACCTTCTATCTCATAAGCATAACAATTTTCCTGGTGATGTATTTAATATGCAAAATAAAGTATAGACAGAGATGTAGAGTAAAATTTTACATTAGACATTTTACTTAGAAGCTGCTCAAAATCAATGGTCAGTGAGTTTGTAGTTATATTCAAAATTTAATAATTAAAATAGTATGTAAAATTTCAGTTATGTAAAGCAAGATATACAAAAAGAGTGAGAATCAACATATATAATTATCTTGTTTAAAATTTGCTATATTTATTGGGGAAGTGTGACCAATATCAGGATAAATCATAGTGTTAATATAAAAATCAACATTGCATAGAGACTCACAGTTTAATGTCTTGAGCAATTATCGAACTATGTGGTACTCTTTATATATGGGGAAAAGTATTCAAGTGGTTAGAGCAATCATTTTCTGATAATGAAACTTTGGTTTAAATATCATTATAGTTAATTTATCAAGGAGGTGGCTTCCATATAATATTGGCCTGGGGGACAATTCTAGTATATGGCACTGTTAAGAAGTATCTGAAAACACCATTACAGGTTGATCAAATCCATTTGATTGTAATGGAGTAGTTGAAACAGTTCAGAAGCTATTGGTGGTTGCGCTAGCACAAAATCACAAGTCATTGTGACTGAAGGGTTTTAACATACTGGCCATGTTCAACTATTGATCATGCAAGATGGTGCACTCTCTTCAGAAACTCTAACTAAGGTCCACTCAGCATAAATGCAATATAAACTAAGGGTTGATTTCTAGTTCACAAAATATTTATAACTTTTCCAAAGTTTTCTCCAAAAAGTAAGAATGTTGTTGTTGTTAATAATAATAATAATAATAATTGTTGTTGTTGTTGTAGTAGTAGTACTACTACTACTACTCCTCACAATTAGACAATACCCAAAACAATTAAAAAAAGATTCATCAGCAGGAGATAACTTGATTAAATTATTAAATGTAAATAAACCACAAAAATACATTGTTCTATTCAGAAAAAATAAGATATTCTATGTTGCTTCAAAAATGAGTTGCTTGGTTTGTATGTTAAAGCAAGTCACTTAGACGATTAAGAACTGTATAATCAAGAAAAACTACAATCAACTTTGCATATAAAAAGTCTAAGCATAAACCCATATAAACCTTACTACCAAAAACTTTAAAAAGAGAAGCTATCAACCTCTCTTAACATAACTATTGTATCATAGCAATTAAAAAAAACAAAGATGTCTGAGAAAAGAAAATTAATGTTTTTAAAATACCTAATTTGAGACAGTGGGAATGCATTTTTTAAATCTTCACCATACGAGGCTGGCACCGCTCCCACCCTTACACTGTAGAAACTTAAATGTAGCCATCTCTTCTACTCCAATAGCTTCATACCTCGCACATCTCACCTGTGGAACACCCTTCCCAATTACTGTTTCCCCGAGAGCTATAATCTCCAACTATTCAAATCTAATGTCAATCGACATCTCCAGTTACCTTGATCTATGCACTATCCCTCTCCTCATTCTTTCTTCTATCACTCCTATCTGCTCTTGCTCCAAATCTTCTGCAACCCCCTGCATCCTAGTGGCTTCACGCCTTGCTCGGGGCGTAATGCTTAAAAAAAAATATATATATATATTGGCAGACCATTATATCAGTGTTGATCAGCCAAAACACTATATTACTTCTTTTATTTATTAGGAATGTAGTAGAATGAGTATTAGTTCAAATAGATGAGCTACCTGAAAGAAATTTGTTTGGCACTACATGACCATTATATAAGAGTCAATATGCCATAAACTCATTTTTCTGATAACTAAAGCAGAGAGACTTGTAGTTTATTTTGAATGACAAACTTAGCATAAAATCATAGAGACAAGATCCTTGGGCATCGCATGAAGGGAAGATATAGAAAAATAAGAAAATGGCAAGCCAAGAGGAAGATTTGGCAGTGAGTGAATGAGAAAGCCAATATTTCAAGAACTGATGTCAGTTTGATGAGTTTCTCTGCAAGTCATCACCACGGATACAGATGGGATGAGCATCTTCCATCTTCACTTGTCTCTTCAGATTAAAAACATGCAAAATGGACTTTTTTTTCACCCCTTGCCAACAAGAGATGCTACTGAAAGGGAAAAGAGATGAAGAAAGAGAAAAGGAAGGATGGCAGTAATAGTAGTAGTAGTAGTTGTCAGAGATAGAGAATAAATTGTAGCAAGTTAAAAAGAAAAATAAAGCCAAACCTATTGAAAAGAGGAATGATAAAGTAAAGACATTAAAAAAAACAAATTTTAAAGAAAAATAAAGAGAAGGGAACAGAAGATGGAAAGGATAAAAAAGAAAAAAAAATGGAAAAATGAGGAATAACTTTAAAAAAATAAAAATAAATAAGGAAAAAGACTACAAAAAAATGAGCAAAATCTCTGAAAGAATAGGAGAATAATAAGAATAAAGAAAACCAAAAAGTAATAATAGAAGATTAAAAGAAGAAAAAGGAGGGAAAAAGAATATTTCTAAAGGTGGGGAGATTGCTATTTGCCTGCAGACAAATCAGGCAAAATCTAACAGGTTCTCCACGATTAACTCGAGTGTACAAATGGAATAAAATGAAGCTACAGTTGAGAAGAGAAACTAGAGAAATCCTTCAATGTAACAGAGCTGCTCATTAATGTATCTATTAAGACCCAAGGGAGATAATTATGTAAGTTTTCTGCCTGCAACTTGTAGTATCTGATTAATTTCCCACTGTATTATTATGCTACTATGAATTGCTGTTGTATGACACTATGCACTCTGCTTGATTAAAACATGCAAAACTTACTTATTTTTCATTTTACTTATTTGATGAATATGACAAAATATAAATTCTATAAAAGAATTGAAAGCAATTCTATTTCATGTATTTATCTCCTGTCAAAATAATGTGTGTGTGTGTATATATATATATATATATATATATATATATATATATATATATATATATATATACACATACATTTTGTAGGAGAGGCTTTATCATTCAATTAGTTTTTCTCTTTCCTTTTCCATATGAAAGAACCCAAGAAATATATATACTTTAACCTGTCAGAAGTTTAAGCTGATGTGATATGCATGCACATTATATATAAACCTGGATGTATGTAAATATGCAAGTGCACTGTATAAGCGAAAGTATAAATTTAAAAATCAGTTACAAAAGCTGTGATCAATGTTTTGAGGAGCAATTCCTGATAATACTTGCAGAGCATCCATCTGTCACTTAATACAATATGAAAGTGTTAGATGACTGAGCAGGAAATGGATATTTAATACCTGTGACATGAATAAACTTGCTCAATATCTGTGGCAACAAAAATGCATCATTAAAGGAAAAAGTGTACCAACCCATTTGTGAACTAAAACAGTAAGTACATATTGGCATCTATACAACACAATAATAGTACAGTGACTTCCTAGTTGGTTTACCCTCACCAATATATATGTAATATTTGCAATTAATTTAATAACAGAATATACTATACTATGAAGTATAAACAAAATTAACTATAATCTACATTCATGCATTCTCATGAACAACAAATGTGAATTTGGATGTATTTGTGAGCTTATTCAGACATAATGAAAACATTCTAAAAAATTTATTATAGAAAAAAGTACATCTATAGTTGCTTGTTCTTTGACACTAAAAAAGATACACTATTGAAATGAGGCAAATTATCCTTGATAAAATCCAAAGAAGAATCAGCAATATTATTGGTCCTGATCTGGTGGTTTGGCTTCACTCGCTTTCCCATTGCCTCACTATGCATTTTTCTATAAATACTTTTATGGTAATTGTTCAGGTGAGCTCTTTGCTATGGTACCTAGACTTTTTGAATTTAAGTGCAGTACTAGACTGGCGTTGAGATCTCATCAATTTACATGTTGAACTGGCTAGATGTAACCATAAATTCTATGCTAACAGTTTTTTTTCTTGCATGTCTTACTTGTGGAACTCCCTTCCAGTTCCATGTTTTCCAGCCAACTTTATTCTGCAAAAATTTAAATGCAATGTTAATCACTATCTACTGTCTTCCTTATTACTCTTTCCTTTTCTCGCTCATTATTAATGTTTCTGTCTCTAATTCTTCCACACCTTGTAACCCCTTGTGTTTTAGTGGCCTCATTGCCTTGCATGGAGTGATGTCAATTAAAAAAAAAAAAGAAGATAAGTGTACATTGCTTATCAGTGTCACAATTATTATAAATCCATTTTTTTTTTATAAAGCCCATATTCAGTTGAGTGAAAAGAATCGAACGGTTATTTTCTTTTTAAAGAATAATTCTTAAACATTTTAGAAGTTAAATATGCACTGGCAGGTGAAAATGGATTTAAAAGAGTAATTCTTATACATTGATATTTTCAGCTCTCAACTGAAAATTATGTCAATCTGACTATAAGGGGATTTTATTGTATACATGATTACAGATGTTTTGTGTCAAATATTCCAGCTTCATAATAATCATTCAATGGCTATCACTTGGATGTGAACTTTACTTCAGCTTTAAATTCCAGCACTCAAAATCTGTCTGCATAGAAATTGTAGTGTCAAAATTTGTTCAAGTAAGCATTTTTTTCTGAACTGACATCTAAGTCAAAGATAAAATTCAAAATTGGACAAATTTTCTCTTCAAAAACTTCTCCAAGTCTTTAATTTTGAGAATAGTTTCTACATAGGTACTTAATTAAAAGCGATTGATTATTTCCAAAGAATACGCTTTTGCCGCAATGATCCAAAATTCTTTCAAGTTTTGTAGGAATGAAAAATTCTTCCCAAATTAAATTCTTTGAAACTGGTTTCAGGTTCATTTAGTTTGATTTCCTCCTCAACTTTCCCACTTTGCAAATATCAATTTCTGAAAATTTCTAAGAGAAATTCCTGACAAAAATAAATTTGGCTGAGCCAATCAATTTTCAACAATTTACATACATCCATTTACCATCATGAGAGAAGATAATATTCCAAAGATCTTTGCTTCCTCACTTTTCTCTCTTACTTCATGTCCCTTGCAACTGACATTAAATTAAAGCTGACAACTTTATTTGGACTATAGGGATTAGATTCCTTGAAGATTAAATTGTTTAATAGTCTGAAAATATCAATCAAGCCAAAAATAACTGATACGTTTCAAGATGATGAATACCAATCTGTCTGCTTTATTTTCATCCATTTAATTTCAGAATCAAAAATTGAAAATATATTCAAGTTTTTTTTCTTAATTTAGTGTCAGTAGTTGAAAAATTATGCAACAAAATCAAACATGAGAGCAGATTTTAAGACAAGGGTCAGAAATTATCTATCATAAATGCAAGTAATTATATATAAGAATGTTAAATCCTATAAATAATGTCAAAATTTAGGGTTAAAAAATATTTTTTTAAATTAATTTTTAATTAAAATTTTTTTATTGACATGGATTTTGTCATTATTAATAATCTCCATCAAATAATTCATAAGCTTCATAATAACATTTTTATAAAAGTCTTTTGGTCTGTAAGAAAACAATAGAGAGATTGTAGTTGTCTTGTTATATTTTTTCAGCAAGATTGTTCTGTAAACTCTGTAACAGACTGCAATCAGACAGATAATCTAGACAATAATGATGGTGTAGAGTTGGGCATTTCAATATTTGCTGCATATGGTTGTGCATTAAGATAAAATAACATCACACTTCTGCAATTGATCAAACTGAACTACTTTTTCTTCAAAGCATGGTTTAAATATTCTAACTGCTGACAATAGATGTTTAATTTAGCATTAACTGGTAGCAACCAGTCAATCACACAAACACAATTTGCCCAAGCACCAAAATTGTCTATGGAGAGAAATCAGTTTTAGGTTGAGTCTGTTCACCTTTAACAAGCCACTGTTGGTAATCTTTTTATCTTGTAAAATGTCCATTTTCCATTACCAGTCACTAATCTGTTTTAAAAATGAAAAATGCACCCACAAAAGTGCAGAGAAACACACATGTTTATTCTCATTTGTGGTTTGTTTCTGTCAAATTATGGCAAACCTATTTTCTAAATTTCGGCACCTAAATTGCAGATGATGATGAATGGTTTGAGCTAACAGCACAAGTTCTATTGAGTTCAGACAAAAGCAGATCATTGTTAAACAATAGGATGATTGTTCATGATGCATCACTTAAGCTGCAATCAACTTTTTCTAAATCTTTAAAACTATCATCAACAATTTAGCCTATAAATACATTGAATATCTGTTTGTTTATCTACTGTTATCATGTAGGCATTTTAGAATGGTGGCAATGACAGACAATCTACTGCTATCAAATTTAGGCATTACCTATGGGATTATACATATAACAGTATTATTTAAATAAATAATTTTCCACTATATACCATCATCATCATGGCTTGATTTTGCAAATGATATTTTATGAAAATTTTCTATAATTCATACAGGTCCTTCAGGACTGCTGTAAAGACAATTTAATGTAGAGAGAAAGATACACATTATCAAGTTTACTCTTTAGACCAGAGGTTTACAATGTTATTGTCCAGCTGTGTGTATTGGCAGTAAGATCTCTTGGTTACAGGTTTTCTAATGGAGTATTCCTTTCCTCAATAGAAGCTAATTGTAGAAGTTTGCCACCTCTCCATGATTGATTTGCACAGTCTCAGTTTTATTACACCAGAAATTCTCTTTAGTATCTAGACTTTATGAAATTAAGTGCATTACTAGATTGGCAGCAGGCTCTTATTTTACAGTCAAAATAGCTAGATGTAAGCATAAGTTCTACAGTAACAGTTTCTTCTCTCACAATTCTCACTTGTGGAACTCTCTTCAGACTTCTTGCTTTCCAGTCAAGTTTGATCTTCAAAAATTTAAATGCAGTTATCTTCTGTTTTCTTAATTTCTGTTCTTTTATTGTTCTCTCACTTTAATAACATTTTCTTTTTCTCACACTGATTAACTCATTGCATCTTATTGGCTTGATTGGGGGTAAAATGATTAAAAGAAAAAAATCCATCTTATCTTGTGCTCTTTTATTAGTCCTTCCAGTTCCCACTATATTTAGGTGATAGTTGCCAATTTACTGAGAGAGCTGTTTGTAGGTTAAACAAGATAATAACTATAATAACAAAGATACAAATGAATAAGTAATTATTTTAAATACAACCAATCTTTCAGCTTCCTTACTGATTTGAACAAATGCAGGATTTCCATATTGTCAGTCTCAAATAATTTCACATTGTAGGGAGGGGACTCAGTTCAATGCTGCCAACATGACCCAAGATTGATATTAAATATAGTACAATTTAGTACAATAATGGTATAAAATAGTATATTGTAAAGAATATAAAATTTGCAAAATTGAGTGAAATGAGATAATTCAAACTCTGATAATGTTAAATACATAATGACCTAGGAAAACAATACAGTTATTGCCTAATTTTGCTTGTGATAATTTTTTATTTATTATAAAATAAGAGCTGGACAAAACAAAAAGAAAAGATATTAGTCTAAATGTCCCAATAAATTATATTGAAATCTAAGATTATTTATAATTATAGTGTGAATTTGATTACTCCATTTCAGTAGTCATGGGTATGAATAAAAAAAAAAAGGAAGAGATTGAAAATGTATGATAAACTACCTATGTAAACCCTACAACAGTGATATTTTAAACAAGTGCTTGAAGCAATTAGAAAAAGAATGATGTGCACTCATGGAAAAAAAGACTGGAGATTACAAGCCCAATTATACTAGTAGATGATAGCAAATACATTTTTGGAACATGAAGGCAATCTTTTTCTTCCTAATTTTTTTTTCTGCATTGGTGTTTTGAAACAGATTAACAGTGAAAAGTAATAAGATGTGTTAATTTGTATTTATGCTTATTTAAAGTAAATTTTGTAAATTAAAACAAAATAAAAACAGAAAAATTGTAGCAGCCTTCATGACAGAGTTCTGAATTAGACATGGACTGTGGTTATATAAGATGAGGTCAGGACTGGTGAAAGGCAAGATGAAGCTAAAAAACAAAGAAAAATTGTAGAAGCCTTCATGACCAAGTCAACTGAATCAATTTTAATTTTTTTTTTTTTTTACAGTAAGCTTCACACTGTACAAGGCCTGGGAGCAACTTGAGGTAGATGATTTTGTTAAAGGGTAGTTTATATGGCTAGGAGGGGAAAGATAATGCTTGAGTCTAGACTTCAATAGGTTAAAATTGTAGTGATCGGGGAAACATCTTGGGAGCCTGTTCCATAGGGCAGTGGTTTGTGGGAAGAATCTGTGAGTGGAACTTACAATTGCCGATGGAATATGGAGGAGTGGTTTGCTACCATTTAAGTGGCATTGCAGGTCCTATCCATGAAAGTCAGTCCTGGAGGAACCAGGAGATACAGTTCATCTAAGCACTTTCCATGGTAGTAGCAATAGCGCAGGGAAAGACTCATCACATCCCACCTGTGAGAGAGAGGTTGGAGTGTGGAAAATAATTCTTCCCTAACAAGGACTTGGAGACTCTTTTGAACTATCATGACCTCACCCAAATATGGCAACTGTACTCTATTTTCAGACTGATCTGGCTCTTATAAAAGTAGAGGATAGCATGAGGAGTCAGGTACTTACTGGAGTGGTACAGGGGGGCAATCATTTTATCTGCATCTTTAGTGTTGGATCATATATAGGAATTCCACTTGAGGTCAAGTGTGAATTTGAAGCCCAATATCCTTTCAAGGCACGGCGTCTCCTGGAGGGGACATGCATTCATTGTGACTGGTGATAGTTTGGGATCTGATCAGCAGTGATGGAATGTACCCAGTTTGGTTTTAGAGGCATTGAATGTAACCAGCCAGTTTTTTTCCCTACTGGGAAGTTAATGTTAGATCAGAAGAGAAGTCAGCTGTAATCTCTGATCATCAAAACCTTTAGAGGTGCATCCATATATCACTGTATCATCAGCATAGACATTTACAAATGATCAGAGTATATTCTTAGGTAGATCATTTATGTAAATAAGAAAGAGGGTTGGTCCAAGAAGCGACCCCTGGGGGACACCTGCATTGATCACCAGGGCCTTGGAGGACTGGCCATTAATAACTACCTTCAGGGATATACCTGTTAGGAAGGACTTTATAATTGAGAAAACCCTTCCATGATTCCATAGCTGAAGAGCTTGTATAGCAAACTGTTGTGCCAAATTTTGTTGAAGGCCTTTGAGATATCTAATGCGATATGTATCATTCAAGGGCCTCCCTAATTCTGTGTGTAATGGTAGTTAGGATGTCAGCAGTGGATTGGGCTGACCAAAACCCATACTGCTTGTCACACAAGACGTTGTTGCTATTCAGATGCTCGATGACCAATAGGTCTATACTGGGAGGAGGAGGACTGGTTGCCTGTGTTCTTGAAGAACAGGCATATGCTGGCCACCTTCCACATGCTTGGATAAGATTTCTCCTTCAAGCAGAGAGTAAATAACTTTGCTAGAATTGGGGATAATTTTGGGTTGATATTCTTATGGATGACCACTAGAATTTTATCTGAGCCTGTGGCTTTTTTTAGGTCAGGGCTTTTGATAAGCCCAGAGATTTCTGTTATTGAAATGAGTATATTACTGAGATTGTGCTCAGTGAAGCAAGGGAAGTGAGAGAGGGGATAGCCTTTGTCATCTATTGTTGAGTTTGAGGCAAAGATTGAGCACGAATTGAGGCATGACAGATAAAAGCCAAAATGATGATGGAGCTAAAAAAAACAATGAAAAATTGTAGAAGTTTTCATGACAGAGTCAACTGAATTAGATAGCCAGAAAAATAATTAAGTATATATATATATATATATATATATATATATATATATATATATATATAACAATAACTGATAATTCATTCTAAATGTAACATTTTTACTCTAGCAAGTTGCATTCTTGGTGATAAAGTCAAGCAGCCAAGAGGAATTAATTTGAGTTCATTGATTGAGGGAGTTTATTTGCAATTACATACAGCACTGAAATTAAGTTGTAGATTTCGAAATGGTTGAATTTATCATAATTCCTGCCTTTTATTAGTACAGTAAGATTTTTATACACATTGTAAAAATAATAATAAAAGAAAAAGGAAAAAACTATTTAAACACAAATTCAAACAATGAAGATTTCAATTATAATTATATTGTTGTTTAATAATAACAACAATATAAGAATAATTTTATTCTAAAAAGAGATGTATGATTTCCTAATAATCAAATTGTATTTCCAAAATAGAGAAAAGCAAAAATCTTTACTGATTTATCAAATACTCAACAATTTACGTCAATTTCAGTTTTTGGACTTACACAATATAATTATCAGATTCTCTAGGCATTAATTACTTCCTGAAAAGTTATTGTGTCTTATTAGAATTAAATAATGAAGCTGAGTGAATTTTAAATGATTGATAAATATCTTTATAGCTTTTTAAAATTTAAATGCAGTGTTAGACTGTCTATAAACTTGGACACATTTTTTTTTCAATGACACAACTTGAGATAAGGATTAATTTCTACATGAAAAGTAGACTTCAATGAAAACACCCTAAAAATTAAAAGGAAACAAATGAATTTCTCTTTCTTACCTGGTTGTGCAGTATTTCGAGTGACCATTTTTGGGGATGGCTGCAACACCAGTGGGTTAGCTATCTCTGAAGCTGGTGAAATATCCATCCGTGTCTGCATGTAGGTGGTAAAATGTCCATTGGTTTTTAACTTTGGCCGATTGTGATTGAAAACTCCAGACTCTGTACTGCTTTGGCGGGAGAAATGGCCATTTGGTTTGACAGAAATGGCTGCAATTTAAAAGAAAATATTTCTAAATACATATTCAAAGATATTTTTAATGGCTTGGTTACAGAAAAGTTTAACTTCTTTAACATTCTTATTTCAAAGTTTTCTAATATTATAACTGGTAACTGTTAATATGCAAATTGTTTGGGACACAGTATAAAGCCACAAGATAACCATATTGGATTAGTTCTTTCTATTTGCTGTAGGTCAGATTTTGTTATCTTTGTTCATTTGTGAGGACATTTTTTTTGTTAACTACAGAAGTGTGAATTTTTTTCTTTCTCTAGGTTGTGCTGAACTGGATTTATCCAGACTGAAACAGCCAGGCAGCTTTTCTCTTACTACCTGCAAGGTATGACTGCTTTGTTTGATGAGGAAGTTGGCAAGGTTGTAAAGGTCTTGTTCTAAACCCCCAAAAAAGAGTATTCAGAAAAAAATAAAGGCAAATGAAGAAAAACAAAATTAACCTAAAGAAAAGAGTCAAGATGAAGACATTGAAACAGTAATGGAAATGAGAATGACAAGTAGAAGCTCTTTTCAAAATACATGAAACACCAGAATCCAATTTAATTGATGTCATGAAATTTGGGCAAAAATACACAAAAGACCAGGTGATTAAATCAGTGTTATGGCATAAAAATATGAAAAAAAAAAAAAAAAAAAAAAAAAAAACACCAGCAAAGGTTTGATTACATCAATGATTATTGGGATTAAATGTGGAAAAAGAACTAATTGAGAAAGTTAATTAGTTTCAAGAAATTAGATTGAGTTAAGAGGATTTTTATGTATCAAACTCAAATAATAACTTAGTACAACTGGATATGGCAACCCACTACACTTACCAAGTTGGAAGAAAATAATGACAAGAAATAAATTATTTCCTCAGCTGAAATAAACAATTATCTCTAAAATACCTTGAGACCAAGTTGTTTACATGAAGACCTCTTCAGCAAATTGGTGTGGTTTCTTAAACAGAAAAATTTTGGAGAAGATGTCTTTCAAAAAGAGAAACTTTATCAAAACCAATGGTCTGTAGTGTTTGCTTACATAAAGAGACAATTACCACTGGTTTTATTGGAAAACTAGTTTGCAGGAGAGATAGCAAAATATCAGTCAAGTAGCTAAGAGTCATGTGAAATTTATGGTCAAATTGTACCAACACATCATTGGTGACAAGTTGGTGGGCTGGAGAAGAAGCTGCTAGAGAGAAGAGATAGAGAAGAGATATTCTCAATTAGACTGCGAGAAGAGTGAGTGGGAGAATGTACAGACACACAAAGGCAGATGTGAAACATATGTATCAATAGACAAGAGAAGATCATAGTAGTAAGACAAACTAGATGTCACAAACTACTGTTGTTCTATTATCATCATTGTAATTGTGAATGAGCAGTTAGGAAGTTTCAAACCCTGTATACCACTGTCAAGCATGAAAAATGAAGAAAGATAGATGCTAATAGAAACACCCATGAATTCAATAACTAGAATATAAACTATATCTTGTTAAATGTATTCTGGTCTTCTTCATCATTGTTCCAGGACAGTGAACAATCACAAGAATCTTTCAAGTCTTGTGTGACATGTGGGTGCCTCAGAGTTAGGATATTTCATCCTTGAGCTTGGAACTTCTTCCAATCTTCTAAATACAACATGAGCAGAGAGTCCCTTATCTAGGTTCCAACAAGCTGTAAAGTGTGGGATACTCCACTGCCCATAGTTGAAGATTGACTGGCTGTGATAAAAAAAAAAACAAAAGAACAATATCCAAACAAAAGAAAATATTATTCAGGTGAAATATCCATGGTCATCATTTTTGAGATCCCTAGCTATATTCATAAGTATAATTTGGCCACCTTTTTCCTCCAATTTGAAAAATTTGTGACCATAAATTCTGAGTATATGTAGGGAGTAAAATTTTGACACTATGAAAAGCCTTCAACTTCATTCCTAACTGATGGATGTCAAAGATTGAAAGCTGCTGGAAGAAAACTAGCCTAGGGAAACTGAAGGTTAACTCTCTGCAGTCTGACCAGAGAATAAGTCTCCTGCCAAAAAAACAACCATCAAATGACAAGATGCATTTCCATCTACCTCAATCATGGAAAAAGAAGATATAACACCTCTGGTTAAAAAAATTCTGCTAGATATAGGAAAGTACAATATTGCCACTTTCTCTCCTCAAACTTCTCCAGAGAGAAAAAAAAAATGTGTAGCAAGAAATTTGAGAGAGAGTGACAGGAAGGTTCAAATAGCTGGATCAATCCAAAGTATCCAATTGGGTTGATAATTTCATAGAGGCTTTTTTGTACACAAGCTGCTTTAAACAAAACTTCCAGCCTTGGATTTGCCTGCTGCATGTGACCCCAGTGTGTTGGCAGAGAATAAAATGACATCAAATTCATTTTATCCTGTTTTATTCATGGATGTTCTCTGCTTTTGTCCATGCTGTAAATCCTTGTGTTAGAACATTTCCTGAGCAACTTGGAGGCTAACCTGGTTCTACCATCTCAAAAAGAAATTAAATGTTAGACAGTGGCAAGGGCTAAAATTAACCATAAGACTATTGGCTTGCATTTGGGCCCATGGAGAGGTTATCTTCTCCACTGCTCTTTCAGTTGGATAGACAGGCCTTGCAAGATACCCATTGTCTGGAATAGTCCTGACATTCAGTTAAAGAACTGCTCGGAGATTGTTGAGATTGCAGTTAATCTGTGGTTTCAAAAATAATCTTTTTTGAAAGGAAGGGATGAGGTATGCTCTTCTAAACCCTCATCATTTATAGATAGTGCAACAGAGCTCAAAAGAGCTCCCTTGGGTCACATTTGTCTCATGGAAAGAAGTTGCTAAGAAGGCCTTTCTGGTTTGGAAATCTGTGAACTTGGATAAGTGGGAGGAAAAAAATGTGTCCAAGTTTATAGACAGTCTAACACTGCATTTAAATTTTAAAAAGCTATAAAGATATTTATCAATCATTTAAAATTCACTCAGCTTCATTATTTAATTCTAATAAGACACAATAACTTTTCAGGAAGTAATTAATGCCTAGAGAATCTGATAATTATATTGTGTAAGTCCAAAAACTGAAATTGACGTAAATTGTTGAGTATTTGATAAATCAGTAAAGATTTTTGCTTTTCTCTATTTTGGAAATACAATTTGATTATTAGGAAATCATACATCTCTTTTTAGAATAAAATTATTCTTATATTGTTGTTATTATTAAACAACAATATAATTATAATTGAAATCTTCATTGTTTGAATTTGTGTTTAAATAGTTTTTTCCTTTTCTTTTATTATTATTTTTACAATGTGTATAAAAATCTTACTGTACTAATAAAAGGCAGGAATTATGATAAATTCAACCATTTCGAAATCTACAACTTAATTTCAGTGCTGTATGTAATTGCAAATAAACTCCCTCAATCAATGAACTCAAATTAATTCCTCTTTGCTGCTTGACTTTATCACCTCATTTCCTTTGAGATCGGGTAACACTGACACATTAGTATTGTTGAGAAATTTATATTATGTGATAAGAAAAATATAGTGAAGTATGGTTGGTTGGGTTTTATGGCATATCAACCACAGTAGGTCATTTAATGCCAAATTAAGTTATATATATATATATATATATATATATATATATATATATATTAAATACATAGTACTATTAAATGTATAGCTGGCAACATTATTTTTTTTCAGAAACGTATAGCTGGTAACATTATTTTTTCAAAAACTATAGCTGGCAACATTATTTTTTCAAAAACATTATCAGAGGCCTTGCTGTTGGACGTAGTTTATCATCACTATTTCACTAGTTCACTATTTTCCCATAGCTGGGACCCTAACAGGTGCTACTACCCCGGGTCAGGGTGGACCTGGGAACACCAGCAATTAAGAGGTGGTTCCACGCTCCTCAAAACCTCCTGATCAGAGGCCTTGCTGTTGGATGCAGTTTAACATCATACCCAAGACGTATAGTGAAGTATGCTTTTGAATTGTATCTGTTATGGTTGTCTATTGAAGTTGTGCTTAATGACAATTGTGAGAATTGTAAATCTGATATTGGCATTTGGTACGAATTGAATGAATTGCCAAAAGAGAAAAGGATATTGGCAATTCACCTTTCTTTAAATTACAGAACTAGAGGTGTATCCTCTGAAGTTAATGTTACTAATTTGAAGAAAGAAATAAGCTTGGATATTCTTCTGACAAAACTCAATTTGTTTCTTCTTGATAATAGCAGGAAACAGTTTACTGCTTTTCAGTCTGCAATTTACATTGTTTCTGCAGTATCAATTATTAATTGTTGCTGAATTTGAACACAAGAATTTTAAATTTACACAATAAGATATGAAATTTTCTGACCCTGTAATGGTCTTTATATTATTAGTGTCATATAAGCTTCCCACAAATGATATTGGTATAGAGTACTCTCTGGAATAGACATTGTCTGGTCAACAGATGGTATCTCAACTGGCATTTGCTGTAGCATACTGCTTTTATAGCAGTACCTCATTTACATACAATATTATACCTCCCTGAATCAAAATGGCATTATGCCTTTTGTTGATCTTTGACTTAATTATTCTTGGGAATCTAAACTGTCTTTCTTAATGTGTATCTTGATTTCTTCTTATAGAGGACCTAGGTCAGAATTAATTTTCCTCTTCCAACTCCTCATCAAATTTCTGGTCATTAACATCCATAGATGGTTCAGTTTCATTACTGGATTCATTAGTCCCCTTCATGTTCTTCATCTTCAGATACTTTGTCAATTTCTATATCCTCAGGTTCCATTCTGCTTCTGAATTGATCTGTATGGGCCAGTACATTTTGTCCATTTTCTGTTAGTATTGCTGTGTTTGTGACCTTTCAATAGTCCTATGTCAGGTTCTTCTGACATTATACAGTTTATTAATTTAGCCATATCCATTTTTAAAACAGCTATTCCCAGGAGTCCATAATAATTTTTTATGCACTCTACAACAGTGGTC